AACAAAAAAAAAAAAAAAAAAAAAAAAAGATAAAAAAAAAAGAAAACATTATAAATCCCTCTTCCAAAAAAAATCTGAGTGGGAAGGGGGCCAGCAGGTGGTAGTTAAGGTGCTGGATCCTACATGACCAATTTTGTGGTTCTAGTCCTGGACCCAGAGGCTTGAAAACCATACCAGGCATATGTGTGTGTGCACCCAAAATCCTAGGAAGAGAATGGAGAAGGGATTACAGTGTGACCATCTCCCTCACACACACACCCCAAACCCCGCCCAATGATTTTTCACTTTCCCTCTCTCTGTCTCTGTTGAGCACACATGCCCTATGTCAAAAAAAAAAAAAAAAACTGGAAGTACAGAGGTCCCATATACCCTCTATCCCCTTATATACACAGTCTTCTTAGAGAAAGGAAGCATCCTGCACCAGGGTGGTACTTTTGTTACAATCAATGAACCTACACTAACACATCATTATCACCCAAAGTCCACTGTTCACATTAGGGTTCACTCCTGGTGTTATACATTTTATTACAGTATTACATGTAATAGCTTTGCTGTTCTAAAAATCCTGTGCTCTACTTTTTCATTCCTTCTTCCCCCTTAATAACTGACAACCACTGATCTTTCTATTGTCTCAATAGTTTTATCTTTTCCACAATGTCACAGACAGTGAGCACTGCGTAATGAGAAATGCACTCACTGTTGGGCAATTTTGTCACTGTGTGAATAAAACTGTACAAACCATAGATTGTATGAACCTAAATTAAACAGTTTATTGCTACTCCCAGCACGTAAGAATTTATAAAAATGTAATATTATAATTGATATATAACTTAATAACCCAACTTAAAATCTTAGAGAAGATCCATTGCCATTTTCCTAATTTATTTCTTTTACTCCTGTCCCAAATATGACAATTTAACTTAGGACCTGCTAGTTTCAATAAAAATTACAGGTCAACACTGATTTGCTATTTTTTTTTTAGATTTTTTCTTTTTTTTTTTTGCTATAGTACACATGTGCTTGCCAGAGAGACAGAAAGTGAGAAATCACCTCCCCCCCCAGGGAAGATAGCCATGCCACAATCGTTTCTCTTCCATTCTCCTCTTGGGATCTTGGGCATGCACGGACATGCACCTAGTGTGGGTTTTAAGTCGCCAAGTCAGGGACTAGAACTACCTTTGACTAGAGACATAACCATTATGGCATCTGTTGGTCCCCTGATTTGCTATTCTTTTTGTGTTTGCCAGAGAGAAAGAGAGAGAGAGAGAGAGAGCGCGAGAGAGTGAGAGAGCGAGAGTGAGCTCCCTGGGGGAATATTTTATTTCTATGCATGGGGCAACTCATTTATATGATTTATAGAATTAACTAATGACCCATAATTTGTGTAAATTCTGCTAGATTTGACAGTACACAGTGATGTGACAGGAAGCGAAATGATAACTTAAATCCTTAAGTGATATTTTATTATAGTTTTAATGTAATTCTTCAATTAAGTCTTTTTATTATTTTTTGCCAGATTAGAGGGATAAATAAACTGGTCTGATTTTTACTCCCTGATTAAGTCTGTTAATGTGTTGCTGAAGTCCAAAGGCCTGGGGTCTTCCTTCCACCTCCCTCTTTCCTCTTTCTTCCTTTCCATTCCTTCCTTTCTTCATTTCCCTCTCTCTGTCCTTCCCTGCTTCTTTTACTTTTTCTTTCTTTCTTTCTTCTTCTTCTTTTTTTTGTCTCTCACTGTGCTTGTACTTCTCAGATGTTTTGTGATTTTTGACTTGAGACAATTTTCTTCTGAAGGTATCATCACCTAAGATGGTTGATAATATTCAGAGGGGTGAATAGTTGGCCAACTACTAGCTCATGGTGTAGAATATGGATTATCATGGCCCAGGGCATTGAGAACTTGGCACCATTATTTAGGTTTTTTTTTTTTAAAAGAATTATTGAATTATTTAACTTTATTTACTTATTTTTAAATTTGACCAGAGAAGGACAGAGAGAAGGGGGGAAGGAGTGAGAAAGCAAGCCACCAGGTCTGATACTCGAACTGTAGTCAGCCATGTGGGAGTCCAGAGTCCTTAATCAGCATGCCACCTATCCCCATTATCTAGGTTTTATCAAATAATTTGTTAAAACTGCCAGGGAGTCCATCTCTCAATACTTCTTCCTTGCACAATCCTCTCTTTGACTATATCTAACATTCATTATAGTCAGAGAATATGGCCAGTACAATTTATAAATTTATTACGGAGGTTTACTTGCTGGTCCCTCATTTCATGATAGTTTTGACACCTGAAATTTCTATGTTGGGATACACCCGACTTAAATTTTATGAATTAATTATTTTATAAAACTTAAGTCATTATATTTAAAAACAACTTACACAGCAACAGGCTCAAATTCTTTAGAAGAATATTTCCACTTTTCTATTTTAAAAACCACCCAGGTTTTGGGTACCAGGGAAAATTTGCATAGGAAGTGAAAAAACTAATGTTTCAAAGTTAGTATTTTTTAAGTTATTATTTTTTCTTTTAAAAATTTATATTCATTCAGTGTACATCATCACAGCATACAAAATGTAATTTCCCATCCAGAATACACTGTATATTGACTCAATCAAGCACATCAACAAACAGGTTATTGTCATCACAGAATTTTCCACTTCTTGTTTCTTATATATTTTTGCTTTTTTTCCCCTAGGGATATAACATTTGTATATTAAGATTTTAAGGTTATAATACAAATGCACTAGAAATG